CCCCCGTGCTCTCAGTCGTGCTCACTGCATGGGTCTATCGCCCACCCAGATATACTCAGTCAGGGGGACCCAGTGCTGCCACCCAAGCACTTGTGATAATGTGGCTACTTGTGCAGCTGAGAGAAGGAGGGAGGGCACTAGTGCTGCTGGCAGCACTGTACATCGCAGAAAGAGCATATCTGGGCAGGCTGTAGACATTAAACACACCAATCAATGCACATAGGCTGATACAATAACATACGAGGACACTACTCTGCTGATGGGACCGGAGACACTGGTGCTCTGATGTTGTGTTAATACACGAAGTGTGGATAGGGCATGGGACTAAGACATCGGAGATGGGGTCTGCCATAGATTCAGTGGGCCAATTCTTTGCTAATTCATGCCAATGTAATTATTAACTTGAAAGGAAATGCTTCCGATTTACACTGGTGAAAGGGCAATCAGGCCAACTGAGTGATCTTGGACAAGTGTGACGGGTTCCACTTGCCCCGAACTGGCCAAGAAGAGGCTAAACACACACTCTGGGCAGAGGAAGCCCCGCCCCCTCACCCCTGCTGGACATACTCCAACTGGGGCACTAGTATAAAAGGGAGCAACTCAGTTCAGTCAGGGCTGACCACTGAGGCGGGAGGATGCACTTTGCAGGCTCCAGCCTGGGAGTTGCTGAAGTCCCAGACTGCGGAAGCCAGAGGTGCCGAGACCCAAATGGATACATAGGTACCTAAGGATTCCTCAAAGAGGTTAGAACTGCACAGGCCGAGAAACCCAGAGACCCCGGAGACGCCTGGACCATGGTATCAGGGACAGGGTAGGAAGTAGCCCAGGGGGACTAGTTGCTGGAGGGGACATCAACGTATTGCGGTTGGATCCCCGCTGACTCAGTGGTGAGAACATTTGCCACTGTCAGGGCACTGGGCTGGAACCAGGTAGAGCAGGAAGGGCTCAGGTTACCCTACCTCAGCCACCACTCACCCTTGGGTGGCGGCCCACTCCCCTGACCAGCCACTAGGCCACACAGCCCTGTGGAGGAGGGCAGCCATTGGGCCAGATCACCCTGAGGGAGAGGGAAGCCTCAGTGACTCTGGCCACTAGGTCACATGGCCCTGTGAAGAAGGGCAATCGTAGAGACTTTGGCCATTAGGTCTTACTGCCCTGAGGATAAGGGTAGCTGGGTGGACTTAACTGTGGGGCCACAATGCCCTTACCCCACCCCCAAAGGGGAACAGGATGCATTTGCCCCATGATAGCAAGTCACAGAATTTCTCTGTCCATCTGTAAAATGGACCCAATGATTCTCCTTCACCTTTGTTAAATGCTTTGAGACCTATGGCTGAAAAGTTCTTTGGAGGTGCCATGCGTGATGAGGATGGTGCTCAGGTTAACACATTAACACACCAGGACACACATGCACTCACAGCTCTACTGACATGCGCAGTAATAATGACATGGCATCTACATCGTATTTACACGGGGATGCATGGCACAGGCTCTGTTGTAGGAACCTTTCTCACTGAATCCTAGCACATCATTTGTTTACCCGCAAGACAGATAAGAACATTGTCAGTGGGGGCTGATGCACAATCTAGGGCTAGCAGGAATTATCCACCTACTGCTATCGCAACAACCCCTCTCTCTGCACTGAAGAAGGGCTTGGATTTAAAGAGGCTCTGTCTGGAGATGCAGCCCACACATTGCCTGATGGGGAAAAAGGCAATTACTTTTAATTGTGGCGCTCGGCATGAAATGATTTGAGAGACCATGTGTCTCAATTATGGCTGGATCAATACACACGCAGCATATGAGACAGAAAGGCAGGATACATGGCCAGGCACCTGTGGCAATAAAATAACCCTGATATATAGCATGGCAGTGATGGGCCTTGAAATTTGGACCCAAGTTTGGCTCCTGATTTGACATCTCTTCCTTCCCCACAGTTTTGGGGGGAAGGTGGGGGGGGGATTTGGGTTTCCAGTTCGGCTCTGTTCATCACAGGTCCTAATTGTGGAATTTGAGTGTCAACATTCAGGAGAATGGGGGAGGGGGCACATTCCAGGCTCAGGCCCGTCTCTGATTTATAACAAGATATTTAGTACAAACCTTCCATCCCTATGGAAAGAAAGATCTAACAGAGAGCTATGATACGTGCTGACGGATATATGGCTAAGGGCCCATGCTGAGCTCCTCTGGAGAGTCAGCGCTGAGTAATCTTGTCTCCCACTGACTTCAGGGACGACCTCACAGGATCAGGCCCTGAGAGAGCAGAAAGGCAGAAGTTGCTTTTGTACTCCTGGAGGTGGCTGGTGCTGAGGAGCAGGGCTGAGCAGACACACTGGCTCAAACCCTTCCTGCTCTCACTGCCTTGATTTTCAGGAGAGTTTGGTGTGATAGTGCACTCTATATGATTTTATGAAAATATGTTAATGAGTTTAAATATAATGTAACTGGAATATGTTTCATGCAAAAGGTCTCTTGTAAGGTATCACTACAAAGCTTATAATCTACTGAGTGTGATCATCCTATTTGTATAAATGTACCACTTTTGTATCTGAAACTAGAAATATCAAATATAACTCTGAGGGCCTATTGTAATTATGCAAAGTATGGGCCATTAATGGTGGTTTGAAATCTTGATGACTCCCATTAACCAGAACCATTGTCTGCAGATGGCTCTGTTTTACTTGTAAGTTTCCCTGTATACATGTGTGCTGGTGTGTGCTGGCAAGTGGGTAATGAAGTCTTACAGTGATATGTGAACTGGAATCCAACTTTAACCTGGTGCTTTTCCATTGAGAAGGAGCGAGTGGGAACCCAGAGAGGGACAAAGGGTTCCCACCTTATGCAAAAGATATATAAATGGGTGGAACAGAACAAATGGGGCAGCCATCATGAGGAATCTCCTAGCTACCACCTGAGCTGGAACAAGGGCTGTACCAGGGGAAAGGACTGTGCCCAGACTAGGAAGGCGTCCAGTCTGTAAAAGAGACTTATTAAAACATCTCTCAGGGTGAGATTTTATCTGTACTCAGTTGTATTACTGTATTAGGCTTAGATTTGCGTGTTTTATTTTATTTCACTTGGTAATTCACTTTGTTCTGTCTGTTACTACTTGGAACCACTTGGATCCTACTTTCTGTATTTAATAAAATCACTTTTTACTTATTAATTAACCCAGAGTATGTATTAATACCTGGGCGGGGAGCAAACAGCTGTGCATATCTCTCTATCAGTGTTATAGAGGGCGAACAATTTATGAGTTTACCCCATATAAGCTTTATACAGGGTAAAACGGATTTATTTGGGGTTTGGACCCCATTGGGAGTTGGACATCTGAGTGTTAAAGACAGGAACACTTCTGTAAGTTGCTTTCAGTTAAGCCTACAGCTTTTAGGGGACGTGGTTCAGTCCCTGGGTCTGGGTTTGCAGCAGGCTAGCGGGTCTGGCTCAAACCAGGCAGTGCACTGAAGTCCTAAAGCTGCCAGGGCAGGAAAGCAGGGCAGAAGTACTCTTGGCACATCAGGTGGCTGTTCCCAAGGGGGTTCTGTGATCCAACCCATCACATTTGGCTCTGACTCTGTCCCTGGCAGTGTTGTTTGTCATGGTCCAAGAGCGGTGCTGAGCCAGCACGCAAGCAGTGGGTGTTTCATTTCTTCTACTGGTGAAGAGTCCCCTACAGGGGGCCCTCCCCTACATGAGTGACCTGAAGGGGACTAGATCCTTCAGGACTGGGCAGTAAAGGAAGCCCAGGGAGGGAGACAGCCTGAGACCCACAGAGAAGCCAGTATTGGAGGAAAACCTGCCCTCTCAGACAGGGGCCAGAAGACCAGCTAAGACTCCTCCTGTCCCCATTCACCATCCCAAAGTCAGGAGGCAGCAGGTGAGTGATGGTCCTGCAGACCATGGTGGGGGGGAGGCCAGGACTGGCTGGAGGCAGGTACTGGGAAGCACGTATGGGCCTCAAAAAGCCACTAGCAGTCTCCAGCCTGAAGTGCGGGACTGATGGAAGGGGCTCTGACTTGCAGGACCAGGAGAGAACCAGGGTCAGCAAAGCCTAGTGGAATGACCCGCCAAGGGTAGCAACTGAACAGGAACAGAAGGGAGCCTGAGGTAGGCCGAGCAGGCTGGGGAACCCAACAGAAATGGCGCTGGAGGCAGCTGTGTGGCGCGAGACCCTCAGCTCATGGAAGCGGATGAAATGGCACTGTTGGCCAGCCCTCGGGGATTGCAAAGGTCATAACAATCCGTTACTTGCGTGTCTTCTAGCCAAAGCTCTCCGAGCACTTCACACACACCCACAGCTTTGGCCCCCATATTTATTATCCCCATTTTACAGATAGACGCAGGTCAGTGACAGAGCTGGGAATGGAACCAACTCTCCCAACTCCCCAACCTGTCCCATAACCACAAGGCAGTGCCTCTCCTCCCCTTGTTACCCCGATCACCTTCCACAGTGTGCCACGGGGTCTTTAACACCCGAGGAAGCTGTGGGGCCTGGTCTCCCTCTTGCTCACCCCAGTTTTACACGCCTATAAATCCAGTGACTCTGGTGGTTCTGGCTGCTGATTCACACCAGTGTGCTCTCTCAGTCAGGCGGGGACTGTTACGTTAATCCTAGCTGGCTGAAGGAGCTCTGGGGAAAGAGATGCTGAAAGGCCAGAACAGCGGCTGCAGCAGCACCAAAGAACGCAGCCCCTCATGATGCAGAAAAGTGTGTGTAGGGGGACAGGACAAGGAGAAGGTGGAGCACGCTCACCGGGAGGGGTGCAGCTGGGAGGGGGGATGTGGGGAAGGGGAGGGGCAGGCATGCTCACTCAGAGTGGGGGGGACAGTGCAGGGGGCACATTCCCTCAGAGTGGAGGGGCAGGGGCACTCTCAGAAGGGGCAGGGGAGATGGAGTGGGGAGCACACGCACTTGCAAAGGGAGTTAGGAAGGGGGCAGGGCACACTCACTCAGAAGAGGAGGGCAGTTTGGGGGAGAGGGGAGAGGTCTCCGCACTTACTCCAGGACGTCCCTGTTGAACTGTTTCTTGCTGTTGCCCAGGAACTCCCCGATCATCTGGCGGCTGAGGCCCTTGCGCTGGAGCAGGAAATGTGCCACCCCAATGGGCGTGTCCGGGATGAAGCCCCGAGAGATCAGGAACTGGATCCCTTTGTCTGGATTTCTGGAAGAGAAGGACAGGGACGGTGAGCCGGACACTCCCTTCGGGGCACCATTGCCTCTGGAAGGAGTCCCCTTGGGGAGCCCTCTCCCACATTGCTCCCATTAATGTGCATGCTAGTGACTGGCCTAGGGGATCCATCCAGCCTGCAGGGGGGCAGCCTCACCTGACCCCTGCCATGTCACAGGTTAAGGGGGTAAAAATGGTTCTGATTACAAGGACAGAAGCATCCATGGTCCCTGTCCAGGTGGTGTGTCACTCCGTGGGGCAGCCTTGACCACTCAGACTGGGGCCTCTACAGGGACTGCGAGTGCACTGAGAACCTAGTGATGAGGACACAGCCTAAACAGGCCATAGCCTTCCCCGCAGCCCCCACCCCAGAGCAGCTCTGTGTGTTGTGTCAGTATGTTTGTCCCTCTCTGTCTGCTTATGGAGCTCTCTGAGAGTTGCATGTGTGTGACTCTGCAAGTGCGTGTGGTTCTGCAAGTGTCTGCGCCTGAGTGTGTGTTGTTTGTGTGCACCTCTGCATGTGTCTTCGTGTGCATGAGCATCTCTGAGATCATGTGTGTTTCTGTGCACAAATATACACGATGTGTGTGTCACCCATGTGTGTTGATGTGTGTGCCTCTGGATGTAGGTATTTCTATGTGGCCCTGTGTGTGTGTGAGTATGTATGTGTGAGTGTGCGTGTCTGTGTATGGCACACAGGGGCGTACTGAAGGTTTGCATTAATCTCTTTTGTCCCTATTCCCCTGCCCCTCAGGCAGGCTGTCACTTATGATGCGCTCTAGCAGACAGCACTCTGGCTGTCAGTCAGATGCACAGGGGAATCGGCGAACGCTGAGATGATTTCCAAATTCCTCATGGTTCTCCAATCCAGGGTGGTTGGTGCTTCCTCGTGAGGGAGGCAGGAATGTCCCATTTCTGTCATTAGCCCTGGCGCTGGGGAATTTTGCAAAGGCTTAATGAATGAATTTGCACAAGCAGCTTCTTGGGGGAAACAGCACAGTACACAGTAGCACGTGAGTGCTTGATTCCTCTGTGACCTCCACTGCTCAGATCTACTGGGTGATTAGGGACTATGCAAACAACTCATCCGTACCCAGGATGGAACAGCGTGCCAGAAAGTGCATCGTCCCCTGTAGGAGAGCCCCATGGGGCAGACAAGAGTGCATGTACCAGAAATATACCCAATACCATGGAATTACATGAACAGAATAAACTGAAAATTGATGAAGTGATAATCCTAGTGGAAAAAGCGAACTCAGCCCATTCAGTATGCACGTGGGAGTTTGGTCAAATACCCCAGTGAAAAACCCAGGCTCACATAGCCCATTAAGTGCTACTTAACACATCATGTACATTGGGCAAAATGCACTTGCCGTGCTACCCCACGAAGCTCGTGTGTCACCTCTGAAGAGTCAGCGTAAAGAACACTACCAAACACAAGCATCACAAGGGGTTGTGTGTGTGTTAAATTCACATTCAGCAGTGAAAGGGTTTGGAAAGTGCACCTGCAAATGCACGTCTGGGGCATCTCAGCAGATGCCCAAATGTCAGGGGTTGATCTCAGCTACAGGTGCGAATCCAGAGTAATTCCACTGAAGCCAGTGGGTTTACTCTGGATTTACCCCAGTGCACCTAAGAGCTGAATGTGGCCTGTGAATGGAACTGCCCTACCATAAGCATGGATGTACGGGTTGGGGAAGGATAGGGAAAGGATGGTGCAGGAAAAGTAACAAACAGGAAAATGTAAAATAAAGCAGCCCCCACTCCCCATCTCCCTTTAATTTACATTTTACCATTCCCACACTCCCTTGGCTGCAACTAGAAGATAACATGATGTACACATTTGAAACTCCCATTGACTAAAAAGGAGCTTTCCCTCTGCTTTTGCCAGGGGCAGAATTTGTTCTCCATAAAATACCAATAGGTGTGATGCACTCTCAAGTAGCAGAGTGACTGAATGCCACACAACTGAATACTGTGCTCTGTGCCAGTTACCTTCATTTATTTTATCCACGTTATGTATCTTACATCTCCACTTACATCACTTCTGAATTTGGCCCCTGGCGTTCTCCTCTGTCCCTGAGACGCTAAGCCTGGCCAGTATGTGCTGCGGGATTCTTACAGTCCTGCTGGCTTTCCCTCCACCTACACAGCTACCTGCCCACGCACAAACACAGTTATTAGAGCAACACTGCATCATAAGGAACTCTCCAGTCCAGGAATTCCACCCCCTCGCTGTGGAGTGTGGACTGGCTAAAGTGCCACAGCATAAATGCAATCACTACGTTCCCAGGAGCCAGGTCCAATCCAGAGTATCACTTGCTGAAAACTCAGATGGGGACTAAATAGCACAGTGAGATTGCTAATAGACAGTGGAGCCTTTCACTTTTCAGTCAGGCCAGTGGTGACTGTTTGATGGCCCTATATAAAATGGGTTTTCTGGGCTCAGTCTAGTTTCTAGTGGGCAGTATTCACATCACTATAAGTACCAATCGAGTAGCCTCTTTGCTGGAAGTCTCAGTAGGGAGGCTAAGGACTGCATGGGCTATATGGACTGAACTGCCTTCTCAGCCCCAGGGACAGTCCCCTTTGGGGCTCACTGGTGTGTCTTTGCAGAAGAAGCTTGTCCTACTGCTGCCCTTTCTGCACAAGTGCATAAACAGAAGACTTAACTCCCCCGGACTGACAAGCTGGCACCTTCCCTCTTCCCAACTAAATGTCTTTCTGAAAAAACTGACTCTGACAGGTGACAGGCATGAGACTGGTCACAACTGGGTGGAAGACATGGCCAGGAGAATGTGGTTCTGAGCAGTGCGTATTTGACATGACTCTAGTCACACAGAAACCTAAGAGATATGGTGAGCCTGGGTCAGCAAGTGGAAGAAGACCAAAGCAATCAACAAGCTGCTGATTCATCATATGTGTATCTGCCAAAGTGACTGCAGGAGTCACAGGGAAAAAACATTCACCCCCCTGCTTTACCATCAGCTCAGTGCTCATGTCAGCTACATACACAATTCAAGCCAGACGAAGACAAATTGGTGCAGGCACAGTTGCCAGGCATGTCTGTGAATATATAAACATTTTAACTCGCAAAAAGCTGAGCACTGAGTCCATCTTCAATAAAACACCCATTCAGACCCAAACAAGCCGAAGGCCTGTCTCTGTAAAACAACTGGGCAGACCTGAGCCTGTCTCCTACGTAACCAGACCTGTGTGCCACAAACCCACCTCCGGTGTCCGTCCTCTCTGTGCTCCAGTCTCCACACGACTGCCAGCCAGACCTGAGGACACCCCAAGCCTCTTTCTGATAGAACATGTTCAGACTTGTTTATGTTCCATTCCCATCTCAGGTAAAATGTCCACCCACATCTCCGTGGGCCCCTAAATCTGTCTCAGGGTAAAACATCCATCCAGAGCCAGGCCCAAACCTATCTGGTAAACACCCAAAAGATGTGGGTGTGCAAAATTTCCCCCTAGTATGCAGCTTGGGCTCTCCTCAGAAATCATTCTGCTAACATCACCATCCAGGGACTGGAATGAATACCAACGTGAAGAGTGATATGATCAGATTGTGAAAGGGCAAAGAACTATATTTCCCAGGGTTCATTGCAGTCAAGAGAGTCTCACCTATAGGCAATGAGCAAACCCAAAGTTCCTTATAGAGCCTCAGTCGCCTTCCACAAATCCAAGGTACGTGACCTTCCACATTACCTCTTCTGACTCAAATCTCTAGGCTGCTCTGCCTTTGCTTTCACACCGACAGCTTTTTTCACAGGGCATCGTTCTGAGCTGTGCGATAGATTGTGATGACTAAATTGGATCTGTCAGGTGAAAAATTCTCCCCAAAATACCGAAGGAAAACAGCAGCTGGAGCACTCCCCTGAGCTAGTTAAGCTCTCGGCACTCTAAACACAAGGCCAGGGCTCAGTTCTCATTCAGAAAAGCCCCACAGTGAGTAACCAGGGCTTGGGGACAACCCCAACCCAAGAGTGCCCTGTTGTCACTAATGAGAGGAGGCCTGTGTCCCATCCCCAGCTGGACAATCCCCTCATCTGGACAATGGTCAGGGTGCAATCTTCAGCACTCTGGACAGTAACCATGGGGATTTAGGTTCATTCCCCAGCTATGGTGGAGTATCAGGACAGCGACCAGAGAACCTAAGTTCACTACTCACAGGGCAAAGCCCCTGCACTGTAGACTGGGGACCTGAGTTCAGTCCCCAGGAAGTTTCACCCTGGAACATAAATGAATTACAACTAGGGATGAATCTAGCCCAATACCTTTTATAGCTTCTTATTGTCATCAATGGAGAAAGCCACGTGAGATTAAAGGATTTAGTCCCATTAGCCACTTACATGTTAAAGAGGTTCAGCCCAATGCGGTAGAGCCGCTTCCTCATGGTGTCTGTGGAAAGCGTGGGAGATTTGCAGCTGGCTGGATTCTCACAGTGGTACCGTGGGAGGCTCAGAATCATGGCCTGCAGCGCTTCCTTAGAAGATACCTCAGATGCCGACTTGGCTGACGTGGAGGTGCTGCTGCTGCTCAGCTGCTCTGAGTTGTCTGCATTTTCAGACTCAGAGCCCTTGCCCTGCCCAGTCTCATTGTTTGAGTCAAACTGGAGTTTCTGCACCACCATTTGTCCTTGCTCCATCACCCCTCCCCCCAAACCATTGGTGTTAACGTTCACCTCGGTGAAGGTATGACTGTTCTGGAGGACCCTGGAGTCCGGCAGCCCTTCCAGGGCAGCCTGGGCCTTTTTGTCTTCCTTTTCCCCATCCCCTGGGCTTTCTTCAATTCTGGCAGCTTGAGAGAGCCCAGCCTGGGCACTGCTGCCAAGACAGTTCGCCATGGACACCGAGGTAGAAGATGAGACTGAGATATTCTTGTTGTCAATCTGGACCGTGACATCCCGGAAGGCCATCATGAGGGTGCTGCTGCTCTTGGGCAAAGTATCTGGCAGCAGTCCCTCCTCCTTCTCTTGCTCCCTCAGTTCAGCTTCCAAGTCCTGGTTCGGCTGCATTGAGCTGGCACTGAAGGTTTCTCTGATCTGGTATGAGCTGCCATCTTGAAGGGAACACATGGTCTTCAGGCTCCATGTACTGAGGGCATCATCAATAGACTTGGCCAGGGACTGAACCTGTTCCGTGAAAGAGTCCTCCAATTCAGTCAGGGCCCCGCTGATGGTGACTGGCAAAGATGGGGACCTCACCAAGGGGATGCCCACAAAGTTGTACCCTTCCATCAGGGCTTTATCAGCAGAGAAGCTTTCAGAGTTCTGGACCCGGACTTTTCTTAATGAGATTCGGCGGGGCATGCGGCTCTCCAGCAGGGAGTTCCGGATCTTCTCAAAGTTTTTGCTGAGTTGGTACTGGCGGAAGGCAGTCTGGATGGTGCAGGCTGCCCTGCGAGAGACCAGGTGCCCTCCGTATTTGTGCTCTAGCATTTCGATCTGAAACACACACACAAACAAGATTTTTAATTGACTTTTGAAGGCTGTCCATGACCCCAATTTATACACTGATTAGTTAGCAATGACACTCAGTGGGACCTCCAATACTCCGTTAGCCTTTTTCCACACTGCGGTGCCCTGGGGATGTCTGCTGGGATTGCAACAGAAGGGGGTCCCTCACAGCAGTGCCCTGGCCATGCCTGCTGACAGTGTGGGCTTCCTCAAAGCTGTGCCTTGGGAATGCCAGCTGGGGTATCTGCAGTGTGAGCTTCCTCACCGCTGTGCCCTGGCAAAACACCACCAGAGTGAGCTTCCTCGTGGCTGGGGCCTGGCAAAGCCAGCTGAGACACTGGCACTGTGAAATGTGTACAACAGGACACCAGCCTGTGAAATTCTTTGGAGTAGAGTCTTGTCAATGCAAGTACAGCACTCCGGCAGTGTGACCCTCCCAAAGCTCCATTAACACTTCTACATCCCTCAACTACCTCAGCAAAGTGCCTCTAGAGAAAGGGGAAATCACTGAGAAGAAGAAAAAACTAAGGAATTTTAACTGTCAAACAAGGGCTCAGATTAAAAACTATGGACCCAATCCTGTGAACGAGTGTCCTCAACTTCCACGGAAGTCAGTGGGCGTTGAGGTTGCTCAGCATGTGACAAGAAGTGCTCTGCATCTCTCTGGGTCACACCCCTATCTAAGCTCCACTCTTTGGCCCGGTGCACTTCTAGACTATGCAATATCTCCTGAGCTGCTAATCTCTCTCTCTCTCTCTCACACGCACACATACACACACACACACAGAGAAAGAGCTAGGAGACATAACAACTTTAGTCAGAGCAAACCAGCCACAAGGCCTACCCTGGCCACTTCATTATAGTTGTTTCTGTGCCACAGTCTGGCCAGTTTCCCACATGAACCCAAATGCTGTTTCCTTTTCCCAGTCCTTCATTTTTGCTCTGCAAGTGAAGCCCAAGACATGTGCCAGAGGAGGATGCTGTCTGTCTGCTTCATACATCACCCCAGCCTCAGTCCCGATGAGTGATCAATAGAAAACAAAGTGGGAGGGATGAAGATGAGGGATGATGATGCTGAGGGAAGCAGAAAGGACAAACCCTCATTATCCCCATTGAGATGTGGCTAAACTGCTGAGCCTGGCAGGCCCCTCCCGTGTCTGATAAAGGACTTTACAGCACATGTACAGAATGGGGGGTGAGAGAGAGTGAGAATGCCAGGTAGAAATGAGGCGCAGGATAGAGAGCACAAGCAGGCTCAATCCTGCATTAACAAGTGAGCTATTGCATGACCAAGTTATTTCTGCTTATTAACAGGAACAAGGGCAAAGAGGGGAGCACATGGTTAATTGCCTTATATACAGAGGACAGGCCCATTCTCAGACACACCGTGTCCGCCTGCACTGCACGCCTTTTTGGTCCAATGGTTTCAAGAGTGGGTGTGCAAAGACCTTGAGGTTTATTACATGTTCATTGCGGCCAGGACCAGATTCAAGCATAGGCAGACTACGGCTGTATCAAGGTCCCAGCTCCTGGAGTCATGTGATTGCATCAGAATCTCAGCTTTCTTGTCTTTTCAATAGGTTTCTGGACCTCACAGCTGCAAATCTAACCTTCAGAAAGTGAACCGAGTGCCTGCCTGCGTCTGCAGAGAGCCTGGAACAATAGCTTTAAGAATTGCCCCATGTGTCTCAGTAAGCTATTAACTACAAGATCCGCTACTGTGGGAGTGAGAGGGGCTTTTGCAGATGACACCTCAGGAGATGACTGTGCGTGGTAGGTGAAGAATGCTATGGGCCCAGTCCTCCACCCCTACAGATACACCCCAGCTGCTGGGTTAAGTACTAAGGTACTGATTACTGCCACACTCACCTCTCTAGGGGGGAGAAAGCATGTGGTCCCTACTGAACACCAGGGGAGGGTGCTGTTCCTGCTCCTGGAAAGGAGAAGGGAGCCCGTGCCACTCCAAATGGGAGGTGGGGGCTACAGTGCAGGGGCAGAGCCTGTATTGTAGTGTGCCTGGGGCCCTGGACTGTCTTACGCAGCCCTTAATGCAGAGAACGACGCCTAGTGCCCACCCATAGGGCCAGATTCTCCATTGCCTTGGACAGTCATTTATACCAGTGCAATGTGGGTGCCAAATCCTGCCAGATCAGAATGGGAACCATTTGCACTTGCTTAGCACAGGTGTAAATAACAGCCCCAGCTAAAGTGCAGTGGCAGATCTAGCCCTGAGCCGGAACACACCAGCTTTGCCCATCCTTCTGCTCACCATGTAAGTAAGTACCTGCCGAATCAAAGTCAAAGTACCTTCAGACCATTTATCCCCATAAACAGATCGTGGAGCCAGCTGTAATGACAATAGGTCTTGTCGATAGTCTTAGCAGATGAACTAGGCCTCTGTTTGTCCCTGGGTATTTTGGGCTGGCCCCAGGGTGCAGGGGAAAGCAGAGGGTTGGGGGCAAGGAGGAGATGCTCTCCAAGACTTATCACACCCTGAGCTCGCCCCCCGGCCTCCACCAAACTTAAATTTCAACATACAATCAGGGCTTTCCCTTTCCACATCTTCAAAGCACGGGAAGGGGTGCGGGACAGTTTCCTCATACAGTCCCCCCACCTCTGTGAGAAATTAGGACCTATCCCTTCCCCACCTTCCTCGGTACACAAGGCTCATTTAAATATATGCCCATTAAACCCTAACTTGTGCAGGCACAACCCAACCAGCTGTGACTGGGAACTGACTGAGAGTCCTGGGTACCACAGCCTGGCATAGCAACAAGGAGGCTAGTCCTGTTGGGGGGGGGACGGGTGTGGGGGGGAAGTAGCCATTTGAGAGAAGGGATAATAATAAGGTACAAAACCCAGCAGAACCAGGGGAAGCAGCAGCCTGGTAGTTTTCCAGGTGACAGCCATTCAGGAAGTGTAAATCTCATATGCTCCATTCTTATTAGAGGCCAGGATGAGATGTAATTGCTGATCTGAACTAAAAGGCATATTCCTCCAAAGCAGAGGCCAGTTTCTGAACAGCAGAGTTTGATGGCATTGGTTCTCAGTGGGAGAGGTGGGAGCCATCTAAGAGTTCAAAAGAATGGGCCAAAGCCATTGGCACCCCTGTTACTGCAATGCCTGGCACTCTATAAACCCCTACAAGCTATTAGGGAAATTAACGCCAAAGGGTATTCCCAATCTTCGCTGCTTCCTAAAGGCCCTGCTAAGAGCTCTCAAACGCAGGCCAAGCTGTCCGAATACTGAGCACTTTGACAGAACTTTCTATCCAAGAAGTCCAAAGAGCTTTACAAAGGAGGATCAGTATCATGAGCCCCAGTTTGCAGATGGGGAAATTGAGACATGGAGACTTGCACACGGGCATATGAGTTGCATAGCAAAGCCAAGAATATAACCCAGGTCTCCTGACTCCCAGTTCTGCACCTTGCCCACTGGGCCATGCTGCCACTCCACTTCAATTGGACTAAATCTCTTTCTCGCTCTCTCCCTTTCAGGAGCGTGCAGCTCAGTGATTTCCTGAAGACTGCGATATTCACATTTGCCACTGGACCGATTTAAGGATTTGACACAGCCACGGGCCCATCCCATTCCCCTTCTCTAGCAAGGGGGAAAGGGCATCCATTAGCACTCCATGGCAGCAGGAGCTTATGGAGATGTATGTCTGGCTTGTTGCAGGAACCTTCTCTTTCCACTTGGGAGGTGAGAAAGGGCAGACATGATTGGCCTTCTCTCGCTTCTTGTAAGCCCCGTGAATCACAAGTAATTGCCTACTTAGAACTATTCTTCTCTGGGGAGTGATCCTGCAGCCAGTGCCAAAGGAACTGAAAAGCAGGAGGGAGGAATTAAAATAATAATTAGCTTAATACATTTTTGGCCCTCAAGGCAAGCACCCAGTCCTGTCGATTCAGGCCCTGTGGCTAAATCAGAAACAACTGGGAAATCTCTCTAGCTAGGAGGGATTGTGCAGAGATGGGAGTTTTTACAAGCCCAGCCCCAGGCAAACCCCAGTGCCCAGCCTGGATGACAATGTATTTGAGATACAATCCCTGCGGCAACGTTGCCTGCAGCATGTTCAGGCAAACACAAATACACCACTTCTCCAGAAGCAATGAGCCTGATGCTGATATCACTTATATCAGTTTTCCTCACTGGTGTCCAAGGAGTTACTCCCTATTTACAACAGTGGTAGTGAAAGGAGAATCAGGCCCAGTGACGGCATCTGAGCTGCCCAGAGCTGGCTAATATGTCTGATGTAAAAAAAAGAAAAGAAAGCTGAGAACGTCTAAAGTGCCTTTCTTACTAATGTTCTGCCTGCATCCCCCACTCCCAGACCCTTTTCTACTAAGCACCCACAGCCCCTCACAATGAATGGAGCAACATTGAATTAATGTTTATCTCTGTTGCTTATTGAATTAAGGGGCCCTGTGGTGATGCCACAGGGCATGCTCCGTCTCCCATCACCCAGTGTGGCATTAGAGGGGGTGATGTGCTAGTGGAGATGCTGCCCTTCATACTTTGGACATGCTTCATTTCCCAGCACAGTGCAAAGTCAGCTGTGCTTCAGCACCTGAGCTAACTACATCATTGAATGTCACATTGTGGTCTTAAGGGGCTTGCTGTTGCCCCAAATAATCCAACGTGCTCCATCTCGTGGTACAGAGAGCTGTGCCCTCGGAGGCAGGCAACCAGCCTTCATCTCTAGTCACGATCCATCCATCAACATGCCAGCATGGTGTTAGGAGGCACAGTGCTGCCGCAGGTGCTCTCCTTTATATCCTGGACATGCACCACCTCCTACTTCTCCAACATGGGGTGTTTTGCTGCCAATAGGTATTTTCCTTTGTAACGTATACGCACTCATCTCCAGAAAGCTAAATAGGGCTTGAGGCACTGTGAGGTGCCCTCCTCCAACATTTTGAAATAAATATTTTTAACAAAACTAAAGTAGAGCTTGAAGGTGCTATGATTAGGTGGATTGTTGTGGCAGTGAGAGAAAATCAAACTCTGAGGGCCCAGTTCTGCCACCTGTACTTGCACTGAGTAATACCTTACCGGACAGGAAGTCTCATTTATATCAGTGGGATGATTCATGGAATAAGGCACTACTCAGGGTGAGTGAGAGTGGCCAAATCCAGCCTGAATTCATATCTTCCTTATTCCAGGAAAGGCGCCTCCTCCTGGGCAGGTCTATGGTCCATTAAGGAAAGCCAAGAAGAGAATGAACATGGATACTGCAATCTCCCTCACCGTGGCAAAGATGGCTCTGCCTATGGCAGGCTCAAGGTCCTTGGAAGGTCAGTGCTGAGAGGAACCAGAATTGAATGAACATGGGGATAGACTCTCCCTCTGTCTCAGATCCCTCCAGGGCTGGTTTGGGCTATGCTCGAAAAGCAGTGTTTGGGAGCCCATGGTTAAATGGATTTAGAATTAAGAGCTCATGAGCCAGATCCTCAACTGGTATAAATCAATGAAGTTTCATGACTTGAACAGGGATATGCCAATCTACAAGTGGAGGTCCACCATAAGTATATGCCATGTTTGTTGGTGAAGCTTGTTCATTATCATCTCTCTTTCCCTTGCCTGCTGTGAAACAAGATATCTGACCAGCTAGAATTGTAATACAGCTCTCCATAAAGACCCAGAGACCCAAGTACTTTTTGCTGCTCAGTATTTGGGTGGGTCATTAATTGGAACTTTCTGCTTGGGGGTGCCAGAAGCATCTTGTGTGAACTGCAGCAGCTCCTTGGGTGTGAACCTGGTCAGATTCAACTTTCATTTTTTAAACGGCTCCTGGGAGAAGAGGGAGAAAGGTCCCTCTGCAACAGCTTCTGAAGCCGAAATAATGTGCCCATCACTGCTTAAAAATCATCCTTCTACCACTGAGCATAATTCGGGCAGATTGTGTCACTGACGCTTGTTCAGTCTCCTGGTCTGCAGGGCCTGTGCACGAAGCAGCCTCCAGTAGAGGACAAAAAGGACAGAAACGTTCCTCTTAGAGTGGGGCTTTTTTAATAGCAAATCTGCCATGTTTTAATCAGTAGCAACACAGTGCATGTGAAGGGCGACATTTCTTCTCACCGGCTATGAGGTGGGACCCCAGAATCCCCTGCTGAGAGGAAGATGTGGAGATGCAGCTAGGTGTGACTGGGCTGAACTCTGGAGCTAGGCTAGAGACATGGGTGTAGACAAAAAGGCTGCTGATTTGTGAGTCGTCTTCTCTCAGTCTGGTAAGTCTGCCTGTCTCGAGAGCATTCATCACCATATTGCTGCTGCTATTAGAGATACACTGACAGTGTGCTTGGCGCTGTACTGGAACAAATAAAGACAGTCCCTGCCCCAAAGAACGGACAGTCTAAAGGCTCTATGTGAAGGTGGAACAGAGCTGTGGAAGCTCCTCTGGATAAAAGGTACCCCTGCTCTCAGAACTCCCCAGGGCCAGCTTCTCCCCCTGAACAATGAGAGACCCTGATCTTCTGGGATGCCTATAGCAGCATGTGCTCACAGCATTTCCTGGGGGGCTCTGCAGCCCTCCACTGCCTGCAAGGCCTCTCTAAAGCTAAAGTCAGGTTTGAGTAGCTGGGACCATTCTGAACTGGGGAGGGGGGAGGGGTGCAGCAGAGCCCAAGGAGTTTAGGTGAGGTGATGTCCTGGCCAGGCCAGAGGAAGCTAGATGAGGCCCTCACATGTTCCTTCCTCTATAGTCCCTGCACAATGTAGGGGCCAGGCGTGCTCTGTGGGGAGGAGTATGGTTACGGAAACTAGGCTAGCACGTTCACAGAGAAATGGCCCCCCGTGGTGTGAATGTGGCCCCGCCCGCCCCATCCCCCTCTCCCGTAGCCTGAGGAGGAAGCCGCTGTACCTGTTTATTCTTTAAGTCAAGAGAGAGCTCATAATCGGAGGCAGCTGCATGGGAACACGTGGCCGTCCCTTTGCTGCGCTGCACTCTCACTGGGGAACCCGTGTGGTGGAGGCTGGGCTTCTGCACCAGAGGGGAGCACCCCGCTGCCTGCTCCTCCTGCCGCTCTGCATGCTGGGCTTTTAGCATCAGGGTGTCGGACCTGCCTTCCTGGCCACTGTGTCTGCCGGCCTCCTTCGGATCCTCCGTTTCACACCCGGGTTTCTTGCTGGTGGAACCACAGGAATCGTCACTGTGAACAAAACGCAACGTTTCGCTTTTTTTATTTGGTTTTTGGATTCTCTACCCTCATTAACTGATCTTCATGTCAAATGTTCAGGGAGCCTGGGCTGCAGGGTGGGAGCAGGGAGTGGATCAAGACCGTACTTTGACCCAGTAAAAACACTGGCCCCTCCCACCCAGAGAGCCAGTAGGGTGCGACACACACCCGAGCCAAGCTAGAGTCATGTGACTCCCAGCTGCAGCTTGTCTGCCTCCCCAGATCATGCTGGGATATAACCTCAGGGACTGAGGAGATCGTCCTGGGAGAAGGATGCATCACCTCTGTCCTGGATCTTGTCCTAGCTACAGGTGGTTAGCCAACAGACATCACTTATGTGCCTACTGCTTACTAACTGACTGACTGCTATGTTTGAGGTCCCATTTGATTATGGAGACTGGATCCCAAGGATTCAAGGAACTTGTTTTAACTTCCCCCTGGAGTATTTAAGGGCACAAGGAAATGAAACACGAGTGGCTGAATCTCATGGAGCAGCCATTGGCTTCACAGCCAGAGCCACAGACCATAAGGAGGCAGCAAGGCTCTCTGGCAGCCCTGGGATCCAGAAACACTCAAATAAACCTATAGAACAAAACATTAGCAAGTGACCTCCAGGGCTTCCAAAAAGGAAACCGTCCCATCCTAGCCCTCAGAGCAGAATCCTGCACTGACGGTTCCCAATGGCGAGAGGATCACAGCCTTCTTCCCTTACAGCTACTTCTTCTGGGCAAATGGATAATGGTATAAAACCGGTGCCCATTAACAATGCATTCTAAGGCAGCTGAAAGGTGCTGTTGGACAGTATGGGGTCTGTGTGTGTCTGGTCCTCTGGAGAGACAGTTGCTAACCTCGCTTGCTAAGTGTTTTCTGAAATTAAACAGAGACTTTCATCCTCAGGGGAACTTTCTGAATGACTGAATCTGATTCTCTTCTTCAGTACTACACCAGTGTCATTCCACTGACCACAGTGGAGTTACTCATGATTTCCATGAATTTACAGACTAACCGGATCACATTCTGATCTCTGTTGCACTGATGTAAATATGTTGTAACTCCATTGACTGCAATGGAATTATTCTGATTTAATTGAGATCAGAATCTGGTCCTGGAATGCCATTTTCTCAACTCTCAGAGATAGGCATATGTAGTATATTCTATTATTTGACTTGATCCTTGAGTACCTCTGGTATTTGAATCCTCATATAGGTCCAGGGTATCTTTAATGTCAGACTTGTTATATCGTAACTTCTCTTCCCTTCTGGTGTATATTTTAATAATTTTATCAGCAGCCATGCACTATCCATTTTCTTTTGATCCCACAGTGTAGCCTTTTCCACAGCACAATTCTAGGGATGACCAGGTGACCATCGGTTTAATGTCCCATTTACTTCAATGGGAGCAGGACCGGGTCCTACAAAGCTCACTTAGCTGTGCAACTAGGCACCGATTCAGCAGATCATTTAAGCACTTACCTAAGCGCTTTGCTGAATCAAGGTCACTGAGGTTCAGACTTCCTCTACTGCAGTTCAGAGCCTGGGCAGTTGACTAGAACACTGACTTCCCGGAGAGCATAGCGGGCCTCTGGGTGCCAGAAAATATTCATTATGGCCCTGATTCTGCAAGCATTAAGCATGTGCTACACTTTACTACCATGAGCAGCCCCACTGATTTCAACAGGACTATCCATGGTAGTAAAGTTAAGCATGTGTGTAAGTGTTTGCAGGATCAGGACCCATTACTTTATGGGGTTATACTTAATCTGTAGAATGTTGCATACATTTGGTTTCCTGGGCACTTTTCAAATGAATGGCTCTCACGGTCTCTGTTTGTCTGGCAGAGTCTGGAATCTGTGTGAGAGAGCAATGCACAGTGCTACCAAGATGCCACATTTGGCCGAGCTATTATTTGTTAGGGAGGTAGTTGAGGGAGTAGGACATTATAAATATTTTTTAAGTCAAAATTGTCGCTTGTTTGTATAAATCTAAATTTAAAAAATTAACTACTTTACAAATGGGCAGAGTTAAGACCGTGTGTGTGACTTGACCTGACTTGGAGTGCTTACCCAAACAATTTGAACATTGTTGGTCTGGTAATGTAACTTATTTGTATGGAATTTCCTAGAGGTGTTTTTTGTTTGTTGGTTGGTTAAAAGACAATGAAGAGGGGGAAACAGAGGGAGCATCACTTTCCAGGCCTTTGCAGCTCTGCTGGCATGCTATTAATTGGCAACAGTGACTAGACACCAGAAGAACACCCTGTCCTTCCCCCATAGGAGGGCCGGAGGAGAGAGTTCTCTCCTGGAGCTGCACGAGGGCTACAATGCATCAGGTTTGAGGCTCCCACTTGCCAAGCTTACAAAGGACCTGATCTCAAACTCAATGGAAGGATTCCCGCTGAGCAAGTGAGTGTTGGATCCGACCCAAAGTGTTCAGCAGCCCTCTTTAACATCATTATACTTTCGGTACACTTCTTACTGCATAATTAAGAGCCTGCGCCTGCAAAAACTCATGCACATGCTTAACTTGACGTATGTGAGAAGTACCATTGATTTCAATGGGTACTACACTTCTACCCCAATATAACGCGACCCGATATAACACGAATTCGGATATAACGCGGTAAAGCAGTGCGCCAGGGGGGGCGGAGCTGCGCACTCCGGTGGATCAAAGCAAGTTCAATATAACGCGGTTTCACCTATAACGTAGTAAGATTTTTTGGCTCCCGGGACAGCGTTATATCGAGGTAGTGGTGTACTTACTATGTGTAAAGTTAAGCACATGCTATGTCTTTGCAGGATCAGAGCTTCACCTAGCCACACCTGCCCATACAATGTTGCCTTTAGTGGCACACTTTCTGAGCTCAGTGAAAACTCCCATACAAGATGTAAAGTGCATGTGCAGCATGAAATTTTCTACGGGTCGTAACTCGGTCAAATCAAAACCAAATTTCAATGGAGCACTCAAAGGCATTTCTCAGTGAGAGCTATTTCCATGCTAAATATAAACTTTGCAACCCCCTACTGTGCTGGCTGTCGAGCTGTTCAGAAAATGGTTGCAAACATTCCTTCTACAGTGGGAGTCGTATCTTTTTCTACATTCCTTTTATGGGGAAAAGGCTGAACTGTTTTTGCTCAGATGTAAAAAACAAACCAAAAAACATACTCCACCTTTAGGCAAGAGACCAAGGCTGGGGAATTTCTGCTCATTGTGTCAGCTTCAGAGAGGTAGGAGCAATAGAAAATGGGGCTGGAATGGTGCTTGTTATGCAACCTCACCTGCAGCATTTCAGTCGCAGCTGCTCCTGCTACAATGTTCTTTTCTTTCAGTTTGATCCCATGTGAGAGTCCCTTGTAAAGTAATTACAGGAGGGTGGGGGGCTATTCCCAGTCCTTCCTCGGTGGAAACAGATTAAGTCCCCATATGGTAAACCTAACTTCTTACGATTCAAACAGATATTGAAATCAAAAATAAACTAACGCCTTCTATGTTGTTCCTGATCCTTAGCCCCTATCTTGGAGATCTGGCTGGGTACAGACTGGAGTTTCATCCAGAAAGTGTTTGAAGCCTGTGAAAAAGAAGAGTGCTTTCCAGAGAGTTTTAGGATGATCTCACCTACAAGCATGCTATCTCAAGGTATGATCTTCTATCTTCCTAAGCTAAACAGGGCTAGGGCCAGATAGTACTACATAGGAGACCTCTAGACCTGCTGCAGGAAGTGGTCTTCTTATTAGATGATTCAGTTGGTGGCGACGCTCCCAAAGTCAGTATGGAACCAATGCCTGTGGTGCTACAGGGGTACAGAGCTCTTGAAAGTGCTGCTTCTTGGATGAGACAAAAATACAATTTTTCTAACTGCTTGTAATCATACAAAATTCCATGTAGCGGCTAAGTGCGAACCCCAGTGCCCTGGCCAAATTCCAACTATGTTAATTACGTTCTGCATCTTGTAATCAGAATTCTTTACTTGCTGTTCTAAAGTGCTGGGTAAAATTGTTATGTACTATTAATGAGATCTGTATTTCACTCCATGCTATTCTTGCATGATGGGCAGAGGGATTATATATGGTTTGTACAATCAACTAGGAAAACTTTGTAAAGTTCTTTGGGATCCATTTGATAGATGCCATGATCACTTGCATCCAGGTATAAAACGGACTCAACCAATTCAGCTGTTTCGTTATTTCTGGATGTTCCTATGTGAGTTTTATGATCTAAAAACACTAGCGCTGTTGGTTACTACTAATAGAATTTGGTTGTTGTAGAGAAGACACCTGCTTAATGTTTCAGGTAGTTCCTGCCTGCTATTATGCTGCTAACCATGTATCAACTAACTGGTTGTAGACAGAAATCAGTTGCTAAAGTTGTTCTAAAATTAAGACTGCTGATGAAGTTGATGGATATAGAAAACAGGACTCTGGTCATTTAGATTAAATACTATTGCTGGTCTAGCATGACGCATGTTGCTAAGCAGGAATGTCAGTGTTCTAGAATTGAATGTGGGTGTCTGCTTGGAGAGGGGAGGATGGTGCTACAACCTCATTTGGATCTACCCCTTTGATGCACTAATAAACTTTCCTGTCAGTGTGCTGCAAAAACAAATGAGGTCTCCAGACTTTAGCTTCTGTATGTGGAGAAATACCTGTGCTTTTCTGGGCGTTTCCTTGAAGATTTTCTGAATTTCTGTGAAGGGGAAAAACAGGGAGGGCTGGAGGGAGGTGACAGAGGAAAAGGAGGACTGCTCGGGTATTTTTTTAATGCTTCCTTTTCTCTTTTGCTACTAACAGTCTACAAATTGCGAAATGATAAATGCAGGTTAGTGACTCCCAAATCCCTGAAATGGACATGAGTACCAGACACATCACAGGTGCTCTTGCCTTTCAGGTTTGTATGGAATTGACATGCCAATGTTCTAGAGTGCACTGTGTTGTCTGTGTGCTGGAACAACCTCCATTTCTGTTTAGTTCTTGCATCGTC